GGGTGTCAGAAGAATTGGCTGTAATTCGCATAAGAGATGAAATTATTTGGTCACTTTATACATAGTCAGCTTAGACTAACATTTACGCTACTTTCCTATAGTAGTCTAAGTCTTAGGAGACAATTCTTCTACTGTACCACCCACCTGCTAACGTTACCTGTGGCTCAGGCGGCTGTTTGCTGTTTTAGCGCCTTCCTCCCCGCCATTTCCGCGGGCACAAGACAGCTCATAGGTTGGGTACCTTCTTGGGCGTCTGTCTCAGCATCAGCCCTCCACTCTCAACAGCCCCTCCAAACACCGCCTGACGGAATACTGCAAGCCAAATCGAAAACTGTACATGATTCTTGGCCTTTGCCAAACTGACTTTCACCTCCCCTAAGCCATAGATATACCCTACAAATCTCTCTTCGGTTCTGCGGCTTCTCTGTCGAATCTCTTATCAGATCTTCAACACCGACTTTCGTCATCGTTGACCCTGTCGGTCGTTTCATACCCCGCTCCCGCGACAGGAATTTGATAGTCAAGAATCTGAACATGGCCGGAGACGAAGAACACGATGTAAGTCGTGCCTCTTACCTTGTTCAGAGCTATGGAATATGTTACTTATAACTTTTATTTCACTAGGGCGCTTCCGTTAAGGAAATCCTGATCGAAGCTTGCCGTCGCAACAATGTCGATCTTCTTGACGAATGCCTAGAGGAGAAGACCGACGCCGAAATCTCCAAGCTCCTCAACGAGACTACAACCGTCATGGGCAACCATCTTTACCACGAAGCCGCCTCCCGAGGAAATTGTGCGCCTCACACTTGCCTATACACACAACGCATGATTCAAACGAGCTAACCCCACCGCCTTAGACGAAATCATCGACCATCTCCTCGACCAACCAGAATTTGAGTGCGATCCTGTAAACCGTCAGGAAGGCGACACGCCGCTTCACACTGTCATTAGATGGATAAACTCGGAGCCTCCTGCTCAGCGACCTTTCGGCAACGCCCTCGTCGAGATGATGCTTGAGGCCGGTTCAAGCACCCGTGTCAAGAACAAGGCTCGCCTCACTCCATACCAGCTCGTTGATCCCACCAACACAGAACTCCGCGATCTTATTCAGAAGCACGAATATGCGAACCAAAACGCAGGAGACTTTATCAACGTGAATAACTCGGCTAGCCAGGGTGCTGTGCTTGATGTTCCAGATGAGAGTGATGACGATGCTGAGTTCAGCGGTAGTGACGAAGAGGAGCGTGCTGAGTGGGAGAGGAGGCGGAAGGAGAGACAACGCAAATAGACAAGCTACGCAGTACGTTATGAATCATTTGAATAGAGGTCGCTTCTTATAATTGAGAGGTGGACCAACACAGGAGCAGGTATAAAGCATTGAATCTCAGAGCGATAGAATCGAGGTAGCTTACGCAAGGTGCAAGAATAAGTGTTTCTTATTTAAGGTTAAGGTTATCGAAAAAAAAAGGGGGGGTATAAACGTTCTAATACAGGAATGATGTTACTTCCTCCTCTTCATCTATCATGTAGTCGTAGACATGCCTTTCGTAGCGTGAGTGCCCAAGGAATGTAATCGAGACCAGGAACCGGCCTGAGCTCTGGACAAAGGAAATACATAAACCGCAATCAGTTTCTGCTGAGATCAAGAAAAACAGTCAGACAAAAAGCCAAATTGCTGTCACCAATCCCGTCGAAACCACCAGGACGCCCCCAGGCAACACATGATTTCCAAGACTCTTTTCAGATACAATATAAGTGACGTCTGTGAGCCTCTTCTGTGTTAACTCCGAAAGGCCGCCCGACTCCGCTAGCTCGTTCATTTCCTTTCCAAGTTGTCGCAAGATATTTGTCGACCGGCCTTCTGGGCACAAGATGACTTCCCAGCCTCCACCTGTAGGAATAATGAAAGTGGACTGCTGGTCGTCAAAAGCAAAACTATAGGCATCCGGGCAAATAATTTTTGCTCTCTTGCTGTAAGCAGATGGCTTGCATATATCTGGATCGTGGTACTTCCCAACACAACAATCCTTATCGGTCCCGTATGCAGCGCATGCACTGTTGCAGGGAGAAAACTCTGGCCGTTGGATGTCGTCGTCTGGATAAGGATAGACACCATCCCCAGGCTTAGTGGGTGGGAAAGCAAGGTACTTCCATGGACACCAATTGCGAGCGTTTTCGTTGCTGACCCGGGTTTCGAGCGGAACGGGATAGGTTGAGTTCGTATAATAGGTTCCAGTCTCACTGCTTGCATAAATCCAGCTAGGTGATGCAATGCAGGCACAGTTTGTAAGGTTCGGCGGTATGAAAGTCGTATTCTTCGCAGGAATATAATTGAGACCTATCGGAAGATTGTAACCATCTACCAATGAGATATCATAAAAGGTCTGTTTCCCTTCCATACCGCCAGCCAGAGTAAACTCGGCCAGAGTCGCTGGTGTGGAGCCCTATTGCCGTTAGAATTATACATGGGTTGTTTGTGTAGAGTGCTTACACTGGACTCGCAATCCAACTTTCCAAAACAGTCGCCCGTCTTGCATGAGCACGAATCACCATTGACTGTGCAGTTTGTACGACCCCAGACCCGACCTTGCCAGTCTGATGATACCCAGAGATCCTTGCTTTTTCCTTGGGAGAGCGCAAACCCTCCGGTTCCTGGACCTTTGCCCGCCTGCGTCGCGATACCGGGCCATATGGTTGAGCCGCATTTGTTGGTGATGGTTAAAGGAATAGGCCTATCGGAGTCATCCGGTTCCCTTCGGGTCGCGGCGCTAATTCGTCCAGGGAAATGCAGAAGTCCTTTGTCTGATCGCTTGATGGCGGCCTGTGAGCTATCTGCCCCCACGGTCTGTAGGAATAGACCGATGGCAAGAGTAGGCGCCAACACTCGACAGAGGGATGAAACGCTACTAACGTCTCTGCGTCTTGAGGGAGACCCCATTTCAGGATTCGCGAGGCTCAAGTCAGGTTGCGTAGAGATGCCAAAGATGTATAGGCGGCTGTGTCTGCAATCCTATGGTCGTTTCGAGTAAAGCGGGTTGGAATTTAAGGTGAAGAGAAGCCCGTCTTACAAGTGATGATCATAACGTCCAAGTAGCTATCCAAGCAGCGGTTGACAGCAGATATAAGACGAACTTGGTGTTGGTATGAAGCCAGGGTCCAGGGTCCAGGGTC